ACACACAATCAGGCTGAGCCTTTGAGGTTAGAAATGGTTCTTGAGCTGAGCAGTCTGTTCCTCTCTATTCCTGGGTGGACTTCGCCAGCCCCTGCCTTATGCTGCGCTCTGTAAGACCGAGCAGAGAGAGGACGCAGCGCTGCTTATGTAACTGGCCTCCTGGAAAATGGAGCAGCGGTTAGGGCAGAACCAGACGTCCTCTCTCCATTTATCCCTCTCCTCCTGAGGCTCAGCTGAGTCAGGATGTAGGACCATTCCACTCAGCCTTGGAGCAAGAGATGCAGCAGGGTGCAAGCCGCACCAGAGTTAGAATCCTCAAAGCTGAGTGCTTCTGCCTCAGTTTCCCCATAAATAAAATGGGAATAAGAGCTGATGAAGATGAAACAGGATGACACACCCTGGCAGGCAGCACCTGGCACAGAGCAAGCCCCAGAACTGTTGACGCCGCCTGGCTTGACCCCAGATGACCCTGCCTCCCGGTTTTGCTGGATGGGAAAATGATCCCTGTTTGCAATCCCGAATTTATAAGAAACCAAGCCTGGGAGCTATTTAGAGGCAAGGCGATAAACCAGGGGCCGGCTGGCATCCTGGTCATCACTACAGAGGGAAAGGGAGGCTTCCATACACTGACTCAATGAGTCCTAGTGTCACTGGGCTATCAGCGTGTGCCACTCTCACCTGTCAAGAGCTTCTAAATTTGTACAATTCCCACAGCACTTCAGACTGGGGCAGACCTAATTAGGCTAATTTCAGTTTCCTGAGGGAAAGAAAAGAACAGCATCTGCTGATCCTCTGTCTGCTGCCTCCCTCCTGTTTCATCCCTACCTTCTCCATCTCTTTCTGATTGGACAAGGAAGACATTGGTGAGTGGCCTCAGAGTGCCCTGGAAGAGGTTCAGACTGCAAAGGTAGCTGCTATGCCTGCATGTTTTATAAGAGGAAGGAAGAACATTCTAGATTCCCCCAAAGGAACACATTCCCTCATGCCTCAACAATAATTGATTTGATTATGTCTGCACTGCGTGCCAGGCACTTCTCACCTGTCATCTCAGGTAGTATTTCCTGTTACCCTATGAGATGTTCTCATATCCCCATTCTACCAATAAGGAAACCGAGAAGGGATTGATCCTAGTTCAGATGGAATAGATAGTATCAGCTACTTTTTGTTCAGGCTTCCTGTGTCCTCTGTCTAGATGTTCCTTGTCCTTTTTAGTTTCCTGTTTTGTTTTTATTTTCAGCTCCAACCCACGCCAGTTGTGAACAGAACCAAGGAAGGTGGCATTAACATCAGCCACCAGATATGCCGTGCATCTTTCTGTATTTGCTCTTCCTGATTGCCATGCAAATAGTCATTATCATACCCATTTTATCCATGAGAACACTGAGACTCAGGGAGGCAAGGTGGTGACCCACCACACCCAGCCTGTGGAAATGAAATGGGACTCAGACCCAGGTCCCAGAATCACAGGGAAGTTGTAGGGAGATGCCTACAACTTCTGTTTGGTGGAAACAGAAAATGGTGGGGGCTGATGGCAATAAACGGTAGCAAAACAGCAACAGTGCCACCAACAAAAAACGGTGACAGTGCCCTCCTCTCTACGTCAGGCAGTAGCTAGGTGTTTCACAGGCTTGGTTTCAAAGTGGCTTGGAGTATAGAAGGTCTTACAGCAGCCACCATGAGCCGAGTGCTTGCTGTGTGGCAGGCCGGTGGTGCTGGACTAAGTGCTTTGGGGCTGGCTCCTGTGAGCAGCCCCAGGAAGTAGGTACTCTTGTGAGCTCCGCTTTTCAGATGAGGAAACTGAGGCACAGTGCAATGGAATATCTAGTCAAAGGTCAGAGAGGCTAGAAATGGGAGCTGGGAGTGGACCCCCCCACTGGTCTGCTGCAACTGCCACTTAGGAGCTAGAAGGATGTCTTCTACATGCAATGCCTCGCACATAGGAAAGCCAAGCCCCGGAAGGGTGGGGCATGAGGCCCAGACCAGGCCTCCAACACCCCATTCCCCATCCTGACGTCCTACCGCCAAATCCAGTCACCTGGATTTTGTGTCTTTGTTTGTCTTTTGCTTTTCTTTAAGGTGAGGCAGGATGTTTTAAAGGGGGCCTTTTGCTGGGAAGATCATGAATTAAGTGATGGGCCCATTGGAACACTACCCTGAGACAGACAGGAAAAACACAAAGAGGTGGCCCTGCTTTCAGTTTTCTACAGTGCTCTGGTCAAGACACAGAGGGGATAAATTAGAATCCTGTGTGCCCTGCAAAAAAAAAAAAAAAAATCAGTCTTGTGGCCGTTATGAGGTCCAGGCTGCTCCTTAGCCAATCCCAGGGTGGGCAAAGGGTCTCATGCAAGGGCCTGTCGAAAACCCCACATGTCCAAATGACCTTCCGTGGTCAGACTCCAGAATGCTGTGCTTCCCACACTGGGAGCCATCATGGCACCTGGTCAGCTCACAGTGGCAGCACCCAATCCTGTCTAGCGTGCATGTTGGGGAAGCCTGCTCTCCTTGGACTATTCCTATGACCAGCGCTGGGGACAGTCCCATGCCTCCCATACTCTAGGACACAACAGCTCCATGGCTGAGGCAGGGCAGGCCAGCCCTGCCAGTTGCCCCAGTAGGCAGCAGAGAAGCTGGACAGAGCTTGCACCTCGACAGGTGCTGCACCACTGACCCCATTGAAGCTGGCTCTCCACACCTTCCTGAGGCCAGAGGTCAGGTCGTGGTCTGTGCCTTACTTGCCATGTGACCCTAATACCTCACCTCTCAAGCCTTCATTTCCCCCATCTGCAAAATGGGAATCATTCCACTAGCTTTCCAGACTGTGCACAGTAAGTCACTGTTTGCTGGAACCTAAAGAGGACTCATGAGCCACCCTCCCACCCATTCGTTTATCAGCACCTGCTGTGTGCCACCAGGAGGAGGGTGGACCAGAGAGACAGGCTTACATACACTCTAGAGGAGGACACTGACAAAAATAAATACGATCATTTCAGAGTGTGCCAAGTACCAGGAAGTAAATAAAAAAGGGCTAATGTGACAGCCATCGGCTGGCAATTTGAGCTGGGACATGTGTCACTCTATACCAGGGTCAAAGTAGGTCAGAAACCTCTGGGATACAGAAGGAAGCTGAGAGTGGAGGTAGCTTGAATTGTACCTGCCTTTGTGACCATGGTCAAGCTAAACTCTTGGGCCTCAGTTTCCTCATCTGTGAAACGCCAACAAAGATGTGTCTGTGGGGCAGTTGTGAGAATTCAATGAGACAAGCTGTGCAAAACTCTTTCCACTGAGGCGTGACACAAATGCCAGTTAGTAACTATAAACACGCACGACTTCAATCAGAGGCCTAACATCTCAGAGAGACGTTTGCTCCTCCGGGGTCCTGCAGGCTCACAGGGGCTCATGGCTGAGACAAGCAGTGTGGCAACCAGCATGGGGGGGAGGTGGGGATTCTTTCAGAGTGTTTGCTGTTTCCTTATTTATTTGGGGTTCCATCCCTGTCACCAGTTACCACTCAGCTGGAGAGTCTTAGGGATTCAGGACCCTCACCTGGGCCAACCCTCACCCCCACCTTGAGTCCCCCTCCAGACTGTATCCCTCACCTTTCCTGACCTGGGACAGCCTAGGGAGAGGGGGGTGTCTAAGTCCCAGGTCAAACCTCAGAAAGCCGGGAGTCCAGGTATGCATCTCCTCACCTGACAGGGATCAGGGCCGGGTTAGCCCTGTGACACGGGTGGCAGGTGTTGCTGTGTGGTTTTTTTATTTTTTTGTTTTGAAAATAATTTAGACCTACGGAAGAATTGGGTGGGGTAAGGAGAGCCCCATACCCCACCCCACCGTGCACGGTTTTGACATTTATGCAACCATGTACAGGACACTGTGGCTGGCGTTGGCAGGTCCCATGCAAGCTGGGCAAGGTGGAGTCTACCTTGGGGACTAGGTGCTATTTGTGGCCCTTTTCAACATTTGTCCCTCACGAGGCATTATCACCATCCCTCTTCACGCCACAGACAGGTGAGGGGACTGAAGCCCACACAGGGACAGTTTCTAGCAAGTAGAGCCAGGTGGGGCCTGGAACCCTTCACCTTAAAAAAAAAAAAAAAAAAAAAAAAACTGGGGATGAACCTAGGGCCTTGCTCTACCACCTGAGCCAGCTCTTTTGTTTTTATTTTGTTTTTAAGATAGGGTCTCGCTAACTTTGCCTGGACTGGCCTCAAACTCTCAATCCTCCTGCCTCTGCCTCCCAGGTAGCTGGGTTACAGGTGTGCACCACCACGCCTGACTAAACCCCTCACTCTTGAGCCCCAACCCGGTTCTCCCTGGGTCACAAAACTCCATTTTCTAAAGGTAACAGGGACTCAGTGGAGACCCTGTGCTCTGTAGAAGGCCCGGGACACAGATTCTCAGAGACACCTAGTGGCACATGGTGACAAACTCCACCTCTCTCACCTGGGGAGAAAAACAGCAGGGATATTCAAAAAAACATCTGGACTCTGAGCCCCATTCTCCTCATCTGTAGACTAGGCGTAATGGTAAACAATAAGATGACAGTCAGAGTTCAAATAAGATGTAGTCCATAAAAGGTTTAAAATCATGTCTAGCCAGGCATGGTGGTACACGTCTATAATCCCGGCACTTGGGAGACTGAGGCAGGAAGATTGTGGATCCAAGGTCTGCCTCAAACAAAACAACAAAAAAGTAGCGCCTGACATGTGAGAAGCACTCGTTTATCACTGCTATTATTTATCATAGTTAGCGGTAATTCTGTGTGTGGCATCCTCATGAAACAGAAGATAAGGTAAGCTCCTCATTTCCTGTTTTGGCCACTCACTCACTCATTCATTCATTCATTTCCACACTCCTTCATTCCCGCTCCAGGTCTCCTGCAGCAGACACCAGAACCGACACAAAGCCCCACGCAGATGCAGATGCCCTGGTGGAGCCTGGACTGGTCTTTTGCATTCCCTGCCTCTGACTCACCTGCCTTTGTCTTTTTTCCTTTGCAGAATTCTCCTCTCTGGTGGCTGAAAGCTAAGAGGCGCTGACTGCCCCAGGCCTCGCCCCCTCTGCCCCAAACACCCCATCTCAGCCCCTCTTGCTGCTGCCCTCCTGCGTTTCTGTTCAGTTTGTTTATGTTGTTTTTTACTCCCCCATCCCCTGCAGCCCTTGAATGACACCATTCTTCTGGAAAATGCTGGAGAGACAATAAAGGCTGTACCAATCAGACTGTGCCTGTGTGGAGGGGCCAGGCCTGGTGGGGCAGTGACTTCCAAGGCTCCTTGGGGCAGGTGACAGGGGATGGAAGAGGTGCAACAGAGGGGACTCCTCCTCCATGCTTGATAAAGCATGAATCACCACTTTTAATCCTTGGGCCCACCCCCTCTTGGGAGGTGATAGAATTCCCACCTTGCACATGTAGACGCTGAGTCTTGCAGAGGGAAGAGATGTGTCCTGGCCCACACAGCTAGGACCTGTTGCTGGTGAGACTGGAGCACAGATGCGTGGGTGGATGCTCACTGAAAGGTTCTTGTTACCCACGACAGAAACCCAGCTTGAAGTAACTTAAGTAAAAAGGGAAGGAAGAAAATAGATGTGATTAGCTCACGTGCCTGAAGAGTCAGCTTGAGGAATAGCTGGATCAAGGGACCCAAATGGTCTCAACAGATCTCAGTCTCTTTCCTTTGCGCTGGACCTGTTATCAGGCAGGCTGTCCCCATCAAATGGCCAAGATTCCTCCAGCAGTCCCAGGTGTATCTGCAGCAAGAGGAGCTAAAAAGAGCCTCTTCCCAACCACTCCATCTCAAGGCCCCATACTTAGTTCCACTAACAGCGGTAGCTAAAGCTTAGTGAATATTTGCTCTCTTTCACACCCTCTGCAGGACTGCGTGCACAGCAGTGCTGGGAAGCACATGCTATTATTAACCCTTCTATAAGAACCTAAGGCACAGGGAAGTTAAATGTTTGCCCAAGGTCACACAGAACCAGCACGGCAACCCAAGAGCCTGTGTCCCTCCCTGAATCTGTCACAGTGCCCAGGAGGAAGGGCCCTGACTGGGCCACTTTGGATCACGCTCATCCAAGGTAGTGGGGGTCAGCCACACAGAAAGCTAGTGACCTGACAGTAGGGACAGAAGCTGAGCGGGCCCTGAGGATGGCTGCTGCCCTTCTGTCCAAAGTAGAGGTCAGCTTTAGAGCACCCTGTGTGGTAGGTGTGCCTGGAGTGGTATCTCCATGCCCCAACACAGGGCAGCCACCAGCTTCTTCCCCAGGGCGCTGAGGCACAGTGGACAGGCTACCTTCTAGGAAGGTATCGGCAGAGAGTCTGGGCAGAGACCGGGGAGTCAGAGACGGCATGTTTGGGAACCAAGCAGGGGACCTGCATGAGTGTGCAAGAGGCACCAGGGCACCAGTGCACGCCCAGATTTCCTGTGGGACCTCAGGGGACCCGACTTTGGACACAAGATGGGGGTGGGGAGGAGGATGAGGAGCCACTCTTGCTGGGCCCTATAAGGAGCTCAGGAGCCTCTAATTGGGTCTTTGTCTCCTCCAGGCCATGGCCTCCAGTCACGGGGGTAACACAGGTGTGAGGCAGTCTGGCTCCTTTCTGACTGAGAGATGCTGGTGTCACCACCCAGCAGTCTCTGGACCACCGCAGTGGCTCCCAACCTGTCTCCTGGCCTCCTCCTTCTCCCCACTGCCCACTCAGAGGCCGGGCAATTTCCAAAATGTAGATCCAAGTCTTCAGAAGAAACTCACATCCAAACCAGCCTCCCAGCCCCCCTCCACACAGCCTCCCCTATACAACCTCCCTCCTGTTCAGACAGGGCCTCATTCTTTATCCTCACTCATTCCAGCAGTATCCCTCAGCGGGAACCATTCTACATTCCCTGTCCTTCCCCTCACCCCGTACCCTTGCTGGCACAGTACCATCCATTCTCAGAACAACCAAGGTCAGAGCCCAGACCTTCTGCAGGTGAAATGAAAACCAAGTCTTTGGCCACCCGATTTCCCCGTTCCCATTGATCCTTCCCACTGACTGCCTTCCTTGCCTTTGGGCAGGTTAGCCTGCAGGGTCCCTGCTGGGTCCCCCAAAATTGCTGGGACCCACCCTCAGGATGCACATGTGCCTTTTTGGCGACTCATTCAAGGTAACACAAAAGGGGCAGGGAAGAGCCAGTGGAAGAGCACTTGCCCAGCATGTAGAGGCACTGGGCTCCATCCCTAGTACCACACACACACACACACACACACACACACACACACACACGCACACGATGGTAGACTTACAGAGCCAAATGAGGAAAACTTGATCCCAGCCTCCTGCTGTCCCACCCCTGCTACAGTGCCCATCCGCAGGGTCCTGCCAGTTCCGTAAGGAAGGAAAGAAAGGCTTGATGGGAAGGACTCCTCACTTCTGGTACACTCCTTGGTAGGCTGTGTCACTGGACTCCAATGTCAGCCATCCCCTGACATCTTTGCCACCACCCTTTGTACCCTCTCGGGGTTTTCAGCCTGCCTTTGCCACACTGCACAAGGGTGGAGTGAGGAATGGTGCCTGGCACCCTGGCTCATGGATGTCCCAGACTAGGGGCAGGGGCAGAAGAATCCAGGGTGGTGCAAAGGAAGGGGAAGCAGGGGGGATGGAGGGATGGAGAAGTCAAGAGCCAGCTGGCCTTCCCTTTCAGCCGTGGGCTTGGGGACTGTGACTGCCAGGCTGCAGCTGTAGGGCTGGAGGAGCTGTTTTCAAACCTGCCTCTTTCTCCTCTGAGCTGCTCTGTGCTGACACTTCCTATTCCCCTCTGTTATGATCTGAATGTTTGCATCCCTTGAATTCCTATCCTGAAATCTGAGCAGCAAGTCAATGGTCTTAAGAGGTGGGGCTTTTGGGAGGTGACCAGGTCAGGGGAGTCCCACAGGTCACAGAAGTCTTCCCCTCATGAAATGAGACTTGTGCCCTTATGAAAGAGGTCAGAGGGAGGTTGTTTGTTCCCTCTGTCATGTGAAGCACAGCAAGCGGTGCCATCTATGAAGCAGAGAGCTGGCCTTTAGCAGACACCTAATCTACCAGCCTCCAGAATTGTGAGCAATAAATTTCTGTTGTTCATAAACTATCCAGTTGAAAGTGTTTTGTTGAATGGAATTTTATGCAGCCATGAAGAAGAACGAAATGTTATCATTCGCTGGTAAATGGATGGAATTGGAGAACATCATTCTGAGTGAGGTTAGCCTGGCCCAAAAGACCAAAAATCGTATGTTCTCCCTCATATGTGGACATTAGATCAAGGGCAAACACAACAAGGGGATTGGACTTTGAGCACATGATAAAAGCGAGAGCACACAAGGGAGGGGTGAGGATAGGTAAGACACCTAAAAATTTAGTTAGCATTTGTTGCCCTTAACGCAGAGAAACTAAAGCAGATACCTTAAAAGCAACTGAGGCCAATAGGAAAAGGGGACCAGGAACTAGAGAAAAGGTGAGATCAAAAAGAATTAACCTAGAAGGTAACACACACGCACAGGAAATTAATGTGAGTCAACTCCCTGTATAGCTATCCTTATCTCAACCAGCAAAAGCCCTTGCTCCTTCCTATTATGGCTTATACTCTCTCTACAACAAAATTAGAAATAAGGGCAAAATAGTTTCTGCTGGATATTGAGGGGTTGGGGGGAGAGG